TTAGGTCCACTCAAGGTTATATACTGCGAAGTTATAAACTGTGTCTGCAGCTTTACAAGATATGCATATTACATTATTTCTTTTTATTGCATATATTAGCCAACTTATGGTGAATATGTATATACTGTATGAAATTATAATATTTTAAGCTCTACTTGTGTAATAACTGTTGTTACACCGTATGATGTTTTGTGGAGACCCTCCCAAAGTGATACCTATATATGGGAGGTAGAAAAGGAAGGAAATTGTTAAATTACATCATCATGTAGACATTTTTTATATTCTACATTTAGGCAGTCTTGACAAACTATTATGTTCAGGAGAGTAAAAAAAAAAAAAACACATACACACACAGAGATACTTTTGGATCCACATCAAAGTAGAATCATTTGTTGTGTTAACAAGCAAAATATTGAGTATAATTATCATTCATTGACATGATAGAAATAATTTTTTGTGTAAAACAACCCCTATATAGAGGTTTTAAGCATTACGAGCATAATCAATCAGCCTCCTAAGTAACAGAGCTTTCATGTAATAGAATTACCTGCCATTCACATTAGTGAACACCTCTGTAAAATGAGCATTACTTGCACTCAATGCTTGAGGAAGGTTTCTCTTATACGGAAAGCTGGAGGCACTGTCAAAGATGGCAGAACAACTGACTGGCTACTGAGCATAGACAAGATTGATGCAATTGCTGGCCGTCTAGCTGCATCTTCTTGAACACACAATAATCCAATATGGATGTATCTTTCAATTTCAGGGACTGAGAAATTTCCTTCAAGATTTGAATCCACCAACTCTAAAGCGGTCCCATCATTCCAGCACTTCCATGCCTGTACGGAAACATAACATCAATTAACGAGCTTTTAAATTTTTCTTGCAGAGGCAGTGGTTTTCCATTTTTTTTATTTTTCACTTTTCAGAATGATAACAATCATAATATATTATGATTAAAGCTTACATGATTTAGTAAGTTCTCATCTTCTATGTTTAGATCAGTTACACTATTCCTGCGTCCACTCACAATCTCCAGAAGTATGACTCCAAAACTAAAAACATCAGATTTGACTGAAAAATTCCCTGTTGAAGCATACTCAGGTGCCATGTAACCACTGCATTATTACGCATCCACACACACACACACACAAAAACAAAAACAAAAAGCATGAGAAGGAGAAGGAGAATTCATGATTGGGAGATAAGGGTTGGGGTCTATTGATTTTATTCAGAGGAGGGGGAGATAGGAAGGGATCAAACTTACAATGTTCCAGCAACTCTACTAGTATTTCCCTGAGTTTGGTCAACCTCGAAAAGTTTTGCCAATTCCAAAATCTGCAATTTTGGTGTTCATTTCTCCATCCAATAATATGTTGCTAGGCTTGAGATCGCGGTGGATAATCTCGAATCTGGAATCTTCATGAAGATACAGAAGTCCTCTTGCAATTCCCATTACAATCCTTTGTCGAGTTTCCCACTTCAAATGGACTCCCCTGGTTGTACCTACAATTTCAACCAGGACAAGAGTAAGTCATCAAGAAATCAGAACTTTTCTCAAAGGGACTTCCCTAGTTGTATTTAACATGCATTTTCCAACATGGCCTTTTATAACAAAGTTCAGGTTGTAATTGAATTCATACCATATAGAAATCGGTCAAGGCTTTTATTTGGCACAAACTCATATATAAGTAATTTTTCTTCTCCATCCAAGCAAAATCCATAAAGTTTAACAAATGTCTTATGTTGTAGCTTTGCTGCTAAGCATGCTTCACTCTTGAATTCCCTGATTCCTTGCCCTGAGGGACTTGCAAGCCTCTTAACAGCTATAGCTTGTCCATCTGCAAGTGTTCCCTAAATTTGAAAGTGAACAACTATAAGTTGATTGTCTGACAAGAAGAAATTACAGGTATGAAGTTCGACATAAAAAGAAGAAAGACAGTATTTTTATGTTATCCGTCAATTACGCAAACATACCATGTAAACAACTCCAAACCCACCTCGGCCAATTTTATTTTCAGGAGAGAAGTTGTCAGTGGCAACTTTGATAGCATCAAACTGCAAGTGCAGATTTTCCAAGCTTTCAATCTCTTCAATTCCTGCAGAACACAGCAGAGTCTCATTCATACTTGAATCTCTATCAGACTGCAAATTTTGTTTATCCCCCCCTACAGGCTGCAAATTCCTAACAATATCTTGTGTATAGGTACCATAATGATAAAGTAATACTTGAAAATTCTATAGTACTTGATTTGAAGATTACAAAGAGCTTCATTGAGTCCACCCTAGATCTGTTTTCCAGAACATGCATAAATGTAAATGTTAGTAGATGACTTACCAGTGGGCTTTCCTCTTGCTTTGTATTTTCTGAAGCCACAAAGAAGTTCAAGATGAATGATATCCCTGCAGCTCCAGCAACTATAATAACAACAATGTATGATGTGCGTAATTGTTTCCCTGAATCAAAATATATATATATATTTCTATTAAAACACCAGTAACATACAAAAAAATGGTGGTAGCTTCAAAGTTGAATCTAAGCAAAAGCGAAAACAGACTACAGCAAAGTTATTAGAAGCTTAGAGTCACCTGGGTTGAAATCAATAAAGACGTATTGCAATCGACAACTTGGTTGTACCGTTGTCCCTAACTGCTTTCCATTGATTGGAAGCCTATTGAGTCCAGTTTGAAAGCACTTGTTGCACTCTGACTGGGATAAATCAGGAGTGCAATCAACATATGCTGAAAGTATTACATTTTCACTAACATAGACACTTCCCATTGCATAAGCCAGGGACGTATTATTAACTTTGGCCTTATTGGAAAGGTCGATCAACATGCTTGATAATGGCTGATCAAACTGCTTGTAAGCAGGAGGTCCATACTCATAATTGAAGTACACAGAATCATCCTCAATGGAGAATATGGAGCGGCTAGCATAACGTAGCATACATTGCCCATAAAACACCATTGCTTCAACATGATTTGGACACATCTGTTGAATTTGACCTACTGCTTCAGTGATGCAGTCTTGGCAAAGCTGAGCAGTGTAGGTCCCATCACAAAGGAATAGGCCATACACTTTATCACCACACTCACCCACAGTAAAGTTGTAGAATTTTTTAGTGACTGCTTCAAAGGACAGATTGGATAGTAGAAGGTTTAAGTTGCTTTGATATATATTTTCATGATCATAGTGTCCCTCCTCTGAACAGAACTGCTGCATAAAAGTGACTTGATTGTCAGAAACGACCACTTGGAAGTAAAAGATTAAAAGGCAGAGCAGACACAAAGCTTTTGGGATATAAATAGCCATTCGCAGTAATTTTCTTTTCAAAAGAAATGATTGGGTAAGATCTATACAGATATGTCCTCAAAGCAAATAACATCAGATCACTCTAGAGAATCATACCATTCAAACCTAATCCTAATATTTTGTTGGTCTTGCAGTCATTTAGCTTAAACAAAAAATTTATTTCCAATTTCCAGTCATATTCATAACAAATGGAAGCTCACAGGTCACAACTGTGAGTCAGAGATAGATATTCTTTAACTGTTAAGATCATAGATAAACCTGTATGTTCTGGTCAATCCCAATAAATATAATAAAAACTAAATAAATGTTCACTGCTTGATTGTTTTGCTTACCAAAATAGAATGCATGAATCACGACATTCCAACCTCTATCTCACAATGCAGCGTAATAATAAAAAGATATTGACTCAGAAGAAATGAGAACTGAAGTCTAGATTTAGCATTAATAAAAACATCGGTCAGATATAGCTGGAATTTTGTTATAGGTCAAAGTTAGTTTAGTGTACATTTCCGGAATTCTGGCAATTTAATCAGAAGAATAAGTTCAGCAAATGATTTAAACATAATTTCCTACAGTCTGCAAGATGCATATAACAAGAGTAATTGAGCCTCTCTACACATCGGACACTCTTAAACTAACCAGTTATCCTTGCACAGAGAAAATATAGTTAATGTTTACTTCCAAATTCGTTGTGCATAACTTGATCAAAGAATAAATAGAAATTAATTGATAGACTAAACATTGGATTCCAGAAAATATTATACTAGTATATTTTTTTTGTATAATTTGTTGAAAGTCAAAGCAGCATCGCTGCAATCTTAACTTAATGGCTAGCTAACTCTTCATCTGGGTCAAATATATACATCAATTATTGGGCTATATATATATATATATATATATATAGATATATATATATTATTCTACTAGTATAACCATGGTGTGAATACACAACAGTATAACTTCAAGAATCCTGAATAAAGTATTTACTAATTGCAGAGGACATGTTCAGCAGAATCCCATTTGGTAAAAGATGATATCACAACAAAGATAAGTATTGATCAAATTTGTGAACTAATATTTATCAGTAGACTTCTTGATTTGTTGAGCAGATTATATCAGAGACCTGAGGATACAAAAAATAATCACCAGAGACTAAGTCCGTGTTATATGAAACCATAACACTAGTACGCTAAAGAGATCCATTCTGTTTTTCTTAAAACCACTAGCAGCGATTGTTACTCTGTTCTATTTATTTAAGGACCCGAAAAAAAACAAATGAACAACAGAAAGTCACAGACAATGAAAGCCCCTTAGAAAAGCTAAAAGGATTTGAAACTGATGGGTTGCAGGGTCAGAGAACTTAAGTGCAGAGTGAAAATTGGGAAATTTCAGCTCTTGTGCAGAAGATTCATGGATTAACTAAGTACCAACTTCGAAACCCTCAATCAGTAAGATATATGAGAGTAAAAGCACATAGCTGATCAAGTTATATTGAAGCACTTGACATGCATAGGTAACGAAGACAGCAAGATATAATCTCTTATTTTTTGTAACAATTAATTACAGCCATTTCATCAGGTAAAGTTGATGCAGGACCATATAGATGGAGGCGTGCAGCCAAAACTCAAAAGTGCATATCCAGTTCATTCCCCCCCCCCCCCCCCCAATAGATATATAACCTGCCTTTAAATGGAGTTTTAGTTGATTCAGGGACCGGCAGCATAATATCCATAAGATAAGAAAAAAAGAGGAACAAAAGCAAAAAAATTCTACAACGTAGGAATATAATCCACTTGAAACAAAGAATTTATATTTACATGAAATAATTCCAGTAAAGTGTCTTTTAAGCATTAAAATCATCGAGTTGTCTGCTTCCCAAGGCACAGAGTTACCTCCCCTGCATAGTTGTAAACACCTCTGCAAAGCGTGCATTACTTTCATTCAAGGATTGAGGCATGTTTCTCCTATATGGAAAAGCTGGAGGTGCTGTCAGAGAAGGTAGAACTACTGACAGGCTACTGAGCATGGACAAAATTAATCCCATTGTTGGCCGTCTAGCTGCGTCTTCTTGGACGCACAATAGTCCAATATGGATGCATCTTGTCACTTCAGGGATAAAGTAATTTCCTCCAAGATTTGGATCTACTAACTTCAAAGCAGTCCCATCGTTCCAGAGCCTCCATGCCTGTGTTGTGAAAGTAACATCAAATTTGCTGCAGATGTAAATTTAGTTGAAGTCCAATATAAGAAGAGTAATTCTTACATGATTTAGTAGATTTTCATCTTCTTCTTGTAGTTCAGAGACACTATTCCTACGTCCACTCACAATTTCCAAAACTATAACCCCAAAGCTAAAGACATCAGACTTAACTGAGAATTTCCCAGTTGAAAGATACTCAGGAGCCATGTATCCACTGCATTATGTAAAATACCTCCATAAGTCACAATTTATGAAAAGGAGAAATAATAGCTGAGAAATAGGGAAGGTTAACTTACAACGTTCCAGAAACTCTGCTGGTATTTCCCTGAGTTTGGTCAACCCCAAACAGTTTTGCCATTCCAAAATCCGCGATTTTGGGGTTCAATTCTTCATCTAACAAAATGTTTCCAGGCTTGAGATCCCGGTGGATAATCCTGAATCGAGAATCTTCATGAAGATACAGAAGTCCTCTTACAATTCCCATTATGATTTTTTGCCGAGTTTCCCATTTCAAATGGACTCCCCTATTTGTATCTACATCATCAAACATGACAAGGATTGTCAAGAAATTATTTCACAAATTGGTTGTAGTAATTAAGTTATTCATCTCCATCATGGATTTTTATAACAAATTTCAATTGCAACAGAACGAAAATAATACCAAACAGGAAGCGATCAAGGCTCTTGTTCGGCACAAACTCATAGACAAGTACTTTTTCATCTCCTTCCAAGCAAAAACCAAAAAGTTTGACTAGGTTCTTGTGCTGCAGCTTTGCTACTAAACATGCCTCACTCTTGAATTCCCTGATTCCTTGCCCTGAGGGACTTGCAAGTCTCTTAACAGCTATAGCTTGTCCATCTGGAAGTGTTCCCTAAAATTGCCATGAAATTAATAGTAATTATTCCAGTAAGATATCAAATATGAATAGGTTTATACATAGGAAGGAAAATGTAAATAATCCTTGAGTTATCAGTCAGCTGTTCGAAAATACCATGTAAACAATTCCAAATCCACCTCGACCTATTTTATTGGCTGAGGCAAAATTGTCAGTAGCAACTTTGATAGCACTAAACTGTAAGTGCAAAGTTTCCATACTCTCAATCTCTTCAAGTCCTGCAAAACGCATCACAGAATCTCATTCATGCTAAGATATCTAAAAGACTTCAGATGTTTTTTTTACCCCCATATTACTTGGCATATAACTATATAAGCACAGCTAGTAAAGTTTTAGTAGATAGACAAATATATCTTGTGTACGAATGATATGATATATTGGATAGAATTAGTACACTATGCTAGACAAAGAACTCTGTAACTATTATCTTGCTATTGAAGTAAATAATCATTTAGTAAACAATAGCCTGTTGGACCTTTGTCGTTATCCATGGAGAATTTTTCTTGTTATGGATGATCCTTGATATCGTACTAATTTATGCTCAAGTTAAATTCACCATGTTCAAAGGGAAGAAATTATGCGGTAGATGATACTTTGAAACTGTCATATTGCCTAAACAAGGATGTAAATTAAATATATTGATGTTTATAACCACCAAGACCTGTACCTCAGTTTAATAAACAAGTTAAAGTTCATCCCTGAGAAAAGATAAGGGAAATTCTAACTCCCACCAGCAATTTCTGTCATGGGGTAAATTGAATCATCTTTCTTGTAGCAATGAATAGACTATGACTCATGGTCTGATATCTTTTACAGAGTCGAGTGGAAAATGTACTTGAAATAAAATAAATAACTCTTCCCTATATCATGAAATTCTATTTCCCAACACATGCATGTCTCCAAATTTCATACTTAAGAAGACAATTTACCTGTGGGTTTTCCTCTTTCCTTCCTTTTGCGGAAGCACATATAGAAGTTCAAGATAAATGATATCCCTGCTATGGCAGCAACTGTGGTAAGAGCAATATATGAAGCACCAAATCGTTTTCCTGCAATCATTAATAAGTTCCTTTCAGATTTTCTTCATGATAAATTTTACTTTATAAACTAATTAAGAATGAAAGAAAGCATTTCAGGACACTACAGAGAAATATTTGGAGTTAAGTACTACCTGGGCTGACATCAATATAAAAGTATGACAATCGGCAACTTGGCTGCACAGTTGTTCCGATTTGTCTTCCATTCATTGGAAGCCTATTGAGTCCGACTTGCAAGCATCTGTTACAGTCATATGGACTTAAATCAGGAGTACAATCAACATAGACCACAAGTGATATTGTTTCTCTAACATAAACCACTCCTGATGCATAAGCCAGGGACGTATTATCTGCTATGGCCTTGTTGAAGAGGTCAATTAACATGCTCGATAATTGCTGATCAAACTCCTTGTAAATCCGTGGTCCATACTCAAAGCTGAAATGCACAGAATCATCCTCAATAGAGAATATCGGATGGTTAGCATAACGTAGCATGCATTGCCCATAAAACACTATTGCATCAACATCATATGGACATTTTTGTTGAACTTGCCCAGCTGCTACAGTAATGCAGTCTTGACAAAGTTGAGCAGTGTAGGCTGCATTGCAAAGGAATAGGCCGTACACCTTATTAACACCTTCACCAGCAGTAGAGTTGTAGAACTTTTTTGAGACTGCTTCACTGGAGACATTGGCTAGAAGATGATTTAGATTTCTTTGATAAACACTTTCACGATCAAATTGTTCTTCAGAACAAAATTGCTGCATAAAAGTAACTTGGTCTTCGGAAATAGCAGGTCTGAAGAAAAAGACTGAAAGACAGAGCAAACAGATAGCTTTTGGGTCAAAAATAGCCATTGACTTTAGTTTTATTTTCAGATGTTATGTTTTGATAAGATCCAATGAAGTCTGATAATTCATAGATATGTGCCCAAAGCAATCAATTCAGCTTACTCAGGAATTTGGAGAAGCAAACCATCTGCAACTAATCCTGTAATAATTAATTGTTCTGTCACTATCTTCATTTAGTTAAAAGTAAAAAATTATTCCCAGTCAAAGTCAGTACTTTATAATAGTCATCTGTTCAATCAGTAGCACTTCCAGGAAATAACTATCACCGACCCAGGATTTCAAAGAGATTAAGTTGAAATGCTACAAAGATGACAATTACGTTAAGCAAAGATGACGAATTAGGAAAAAAAAAAAAAAAAAACCTTAATTATAAGGCAATACCTCTTATATGTGATTTTGAGTAGATGTTCAATTAATCAACGCTAGTATTACATAAACAAAGTAATTAATAATTCAGATGCTAAATCATATGATGGGAACTGAAGTTTCTATAAGCATAAAAAAAATTTGGTCACATTTAGTTGAAAAATAACCTGTTAAGCTAAAAGCCATTCATTAATAATGTAAACTTATTAATTAGTCAGAAGGGAACGTTCAGGAAAACCAATAAATTCAACATCCCATGGTCTGCAATATTTCTCCTAGTACAAACAAAAGAAATGGACCAAACAAAACTTGTACTTCATTTCTTATCAGGAACTTTTTTATTTCTTTGCCTTTCAGATCTTCTACTCCAGGCTGCGACTGCCGAGGATCAAGTCACCTACTTAGATAGCTATTGTGGAGGGGATCAACAATATGATCAGGAAAGTGAATACGCAAATAATGTTGATCTACTATTATCTAACCTCACCTCCAGAGCTAGCACAAACAAGTTCTACAACGTCACTAGTGGAGAAGCACCAAACCAAGTCTATGGCCTTTTCCTTTGTAGCAGTTACACCACCGATCAGGTCTGCCAAGATTGCATCACACTTGCACAGGATGAGATTCGACAACAATGTCCATCTAGCGTAGCATCTATTGTGTGGTATATAGAATGCATGTTACGCTATGCAAACCACTCCATATTCGCAATCAATAATGAATCTGTACATCGATATATGGAGAGTGGACAAGCAAAGTATAGTCAGTATAATCAAGACTTGACAGACACATTTATCAGCCTCTTCAGCACGGCTACTACTGGGAACTCATCGTTAGCATCAAGCACAACAGTTTATCTAACTAAAGACCTGACAATGACTTGTTTTGTACAATGTACTCCTGATTTGAGCCCCTCAGATTGCAGTAATTGCTTAAATAGTGCACTAAGTAAGCTTACAACACCTGGTACCCAATCAGGAGGACTCTTGCAACCAAGTTGCAGATTGATGTATGCTTTCAATGATGCTGGATCTCTTTCACCAGGTACTTAAAATATAACTAGAGTATGAAATAAGAATTTTTATCTTGTTTCCTTACAGTTTCCAGGCCACCCCCCCCCCCCCTCTTCTCTCTCTCTCTCTCTCTCTCCGATGTCCTCCCTTGCGTATAATGACAAACGAACATGAACACTCCAATAAGTTGCATTTTCCTGATTGTTTTTGAGAAAAACATAATCTCACTTGCCCAAAGAAAGAAAATGAACTATTTTATACGAAATATAATTAGAGTATGAATAAAGTAAAACTTACGTCTCTATTTGTGAATTCAGGCAAGGGGATATACATAGCCTTGGCTGTTACTTCAGTAGTAGCAGCAGCATCTTTGTTCTTACACTTTTTCGTCTTTCTGAAGAGAAAAAATTCCACCAGAAAGCCCATTGGTAAGTTCACTTCTCACACTTTCACTTGTTGAAGGAAGAACCAGCATGTTATCACTGGGGTAGAAGGAAATATTAACTTTACGAAGACAAATCATCACTTGATGTGCTTAAGATAAGGAAATTTTAGAACCTATCAGGCTAGTGACACAACCCAAAATAAACACTTTTACAATGATTTTCTGTCATTTCAGGGATTGAGGAAATTAAAAGCATGGAAAACCTGCATTTTGAACTGGATACTATTAAAGCAGCCACTGATGGCTTTTCACCAGCCAACAAGCTTGGGCAAGGTGGATTTGGAATTGTTTACATGGTTCGTGCCATACTTATGATGTGATCTTGCAATTCATGCTCTCCCACTATAGATATTGACTTATTTGACATTGTTAAATGACAATGCTGATTTCAGGGAACACTTGCTGACCAACAAGCAGTGGCTGTTAAGAGGCTGTCAAATGCTTCAGGACAAGGAATCAAGGAATTTAAGACTGAAGCATGTTTAGCTGCCAAAATTCAGCACAAAAATCTTGTCAAAGTTTTCGGATTTTGTTTGGAAAGGGATGAGATGCTACTAGTCTATGAGTTTGTGCCTAATAAGAGCCTTGACCGATATTTATTTGGTAATGTTTACTTTGACACATCCAGTTGAAAACGAGTTTAATGCATCACAATTTCTGTACAGATATGTGACTCATTTGAAACACCTTCATTCTTAATACGTCATCAATCATGAACTGCAGATAAAAAAAAAGGCGCAAATTTGAAGTGGGAGACACGTTACAACATCATAGTTGGAATTGCACGAGGCCTCTTATATCTCCATGAAGATTCTCGGCCCAAAATTATCCATCGTGATCTTAAACCAAGCAACATATTGTTAGATGGAGAGATGAACCCAAAAATAGCAGATTTTGGCATGGCAAAGCTTTTTGGAGGGGACCAAAGTCAGGGGAATACCAGTAGGGTGGTAGGGACATTGTAAGATTTAATTTCAATTTAAATTCGTTGTCTTACATCCTTATCACTTTATAAAGCAGCTTATAAATATTGACAAACATAGAAGAAGAATGCTAACCTTGATAAGGAACGAAAAATGTGATGCAGTGGATACATGGCTCCTGAATATGCAATAACAGGACAATTTTCGGGCAAGTCTGACATTTTTAGTTATGGTGTCATACTTTTGGAGATTTTGAGTGGTCAGCGGAATAACTTGTTTGATCCAGATACGGAGGCAGATAGCCTTCTAGATTATGTAAGTTGAAAATCTGTAGTCAATTATTCATACATTGCTATCACTTCCCCGAAAAAACTGATATCATACATTGCAATGGCTCTTTACAAGGCTTGGAGGCTTTGGGATGAAGGAAATTCTCTGAAGTTGCTAGATTCAGCACTAGGGAATGTTTCTGCAAAGGCTGAGGCAGAAAGATGTATACAGGTTGGGTTATTGTGCGTTCAAGAAGAGACAGATAAAAGGCCTAGCATTGCATCAGTATTACTCATGCTTAACACTCAACCTGTCACAATTCCATCACCTGTACGCCCTCCTGCTTTCCCTTATTGTCTAGGAAAGAAAGCAGCTCCACGTGAAAGTTATAGCATTCAAGCAGAATGTGAAATCACTGAGTTGAATCCCCGGTGATAAGTAAAAGCAGATGCAAGCTGGTTGGCATACAAAATCTTGTGAATAGTATCAATTGATATAAGAGCTTGAAAAGCCACTATATATTGGAATGTTTCTTTAAAGAACTGCAGTTATTGTTTAGTTTTGGAAGCGATTCATATTTTTCCTATGACTTGTGATGTTTTATGAGTTTGATCTGATATAGTGTAGTCCATAATGAATGAAACTGGAGCAAAAATTTCAGTAATGCTTAAACTTCAGTTTTTATTTTTCAGTTTTGTTTTATTGTCTTTTGAGAATGATTATGCTATAAAATCATATCAGCAGTGATTTCACTGCTTCAGGAAGGTAAATCAGGTGGCTTCAAAAAATGACTTTGCATTTTTTGTTCGTCATATCAGGCAAGCACAAAATAGTTACGAAAGAATATGATCTGCACTTCATGGTTCCATAATTTCCATGATTTCTAACTTCACCCTGTTATTTCGGATGATATACTACAAGAGGGGGGGTGAATTGTAGTATGTTCCTAGTGCCTACTTTTCGCGGAACTTATGCGGAAATTAAAAACAAAACGTAAAGGAACTTAAAGCACACAACAAGTTTTACGAGGAAACCATCCAGTGCCTAACTGGAAGTAAAACCTCGGCCCTATTGGGACTTATAAACAAATTCCACTATAATAGGCAACTCTCCTAGTACAACCTATTACACTGACCTTTGCTTTGAAAGTTCCACCACGGACACTTGACTATATGATAGGACACCTCCTACCAGACCTAAGACACCTCTCAGGACCCTTTTTCTCCCTTTACCCAGGACACTTCCTAGGTGACCCAAGACACCTCTCAGGTTCCTTTCACTCACTGTGCAATCCAAGACACACCCACTCAGGGTGACTAACTACCACTCGAATTTTACGAGATTTCAAACTCATACACAAGCGTGAATTTAAGATAATTCACAATCTCACCCCAAAATACAAAACACTCAAAACCCTTTTTCCCATTACAAGATCTCATCGAATATCCCTAAATACATATCTATGAATAGAGAGATAAAACTAATATGTTGAACACTCAAGATCTGTCTGGAACTCACTAGACGTATTGTAACCAAAAACCTGATAGGAACTTTGACCAGGAGGACTGATTTAGCTTCGTGGTGAAGGATAAAACCATTAAGCACGACCACTACACTTCGTCAGCCTCAACTTTGAATGAATGCATATGAGCATATTTATAGTACACTCGAATTATTCATTTCATCTTGAAAAAGATAGATTTTCTGAAAAGATAAGTTTAAAAGATATTTTCTAAAAATCAGTTTTCCGAAAATATACCTTTTTGTTAAGAATAAAAACTGTCAATAATAATAAGATAAACTTAGCATAAAATCAGATTTTATTCAAAACTTATCTTTTTGTTTAAAATACTTTTTAAACAATCTTATCTTTTTCCAAAAGGGATTTATTAGAAGATAAATATCTTTATTCAGTAAAACCAAATCCCTAAAAGATATGCACGTATAAGGTAAATATATATATCATTAAAACCGACTTTTAACGACGTTCATACTTAAGTTCCTATTAGGTTCCTGAACTCTGACAGTCTCTGAGTTCCTGACAAGTCAGTTACTCTAATTTCATTGACTGTTTGGAATTCACCTCGGTTCTATATAGACTTGTTCCAGACCGACTTTTATGTCCAACATACTTACATGAATCCTAGAGCAATATACTTCTATTTCTCTGTCTTCATGTTGCTTCTCTGAAACTCTTGTTCTGGAATCCTGTAGTCTTGATATATTCTGGATCTTAGGGTTTTCCCCAGCATTACACCGAAACCAGGTCGTTACAACCCGTTTTGAAGTTCCTGTTAAGAAACTTCTGGAAGTTCCATTTCTGGAACTCTTCTTCTAAATTTACTTGTATCCTCATGGATCCTCTAAAGTTCCTCTGTTTCAATTCCTACTTCAGCCCTCAACGCTTACTGAACCTGCAAACATCACAACACTAGAAAATCCTTATTAAATGGAAGTTTGCTCAATTCTTAACATCATCATCAAAACCTCATAAGGATCAACAAGTTGTCCCTTTTTGATGATGACGAACTGAGCAAACTTCTGAGAATAACAAAGTAAAACAGAAGGTTAGTTTTTTATTTATAAAAACAATAAAGAAAACTAAACTAAATTAAAAGACTCCTACACATACATAACCTATATATGTATAGGATACTTACCTTATGAAGCTAACATATGTAAACACATGTTTACATAGTTACCTTCATGGTCCCTTAGCCATCATCATGCTTATCAACCATAACACTTATCGTTGTTCTTGTTCCTCTATTGCTTATCCTATATTGCTCAAGTTCCTTACATATATACCTGTCATTACTCAGGTTCCTTGTATCCTGTTCCAAGCATAATTTGCTTTTTCTATGCACAACTTAACATACACGTTAGATAGATAATCATCATTAGTTTATAATCATCAAAACCTAATTGCTCAACAATTTCCCCCTTTTTGATGATGACAAACTATTGATGCTCATCACATATTAAAGGATAATCGTTGTACATTTATTCCCCCTTAGTTTTTCAAGGAAATAACATTTAAACAAGTTAAGAACATACACAAGAACTTAATAGTTAGGAACTTAGCAATACACATCATTTATCAATATATAAATACTTTCAACAATCATGATGTAATAACTTTAGACTTAATTACTGCATACCATAAGCATCATACATATTCTTCCCCCTTTTGTCATTATCAAAAAGGGTATTGTTCCACACGTTTGTTTTTCGTAAATTATATGCACTTAAAGTCATATGTCACACCTACCACCATATAATAAGTAAGTATATACTAGTTAAACACTTGTTGTTCCTAAAAGCCTCAAGGTACTCACTTTTCAAACACGGATACCATTTCCACACTAACTTCCAACTCACAATCCAAAGGCCCAACTTCAAAACCCTTAATTGAACTTGACAAATAAGAAGTTAAAATTCAAGTAAAGATCAGAGCTAAAAAGTTAGAAATGGATTGCATGAATAGACCAATTAAAGCGCAAGCTTAAAGGATATATAAAGAAGCATATGGAACAAAATAAGTAGAGGGAACGTGAAGTGGAATTTGTGCTCTTCGTTTAAACCTTTTGAGATGAGAACCGCCACATTGTACTTTATCTCAAACTCTTGAATCTCCTATTGAACACAACACATATTCATCTTGCCAATTGATAACCAAGTTCCCTTACCTTAACCACCAACTTCTTTGAGGAACATTCTCCATACTGGAACTTAAATAGATTTCAGTTTCATCATAATCAAGTTCCTTCGTCGTTTATTATTGTTCCTTCACTAGCTCACCAAGTATACGAGTACACGACATCAACATAGTCAACATTCTTCATATATAGATACCCAGGAAATTAAATATTTGACCACCCTTTTTCCTTTTCTTTCTCTTTTTTTTCAAAGGGTGTCATTACACAAATTTTGCATGATTTCCTAGTATAACACATTTTAAATTAATGAAGAGAATATTTACTCATACACTTGAGTTCCACAACCAGATCTGAACCATTTTGAATTCTTGGTTCCTACCTTATTCCCCCTGAGTCCCTTACCATTCTTCTTCCTTTTCAAGTACTTACTTCTTTCTTTTTCTTCAACTTCCCCCTCAACATGTAATCACCCTTTTTCACGTTTCATTGAACCATAAAAAGATGGTGAACAAACTTAGAGCACATGGGAATTAAGAATAAAAAGTAAAAGTGTGTGAACGGAAAGAGGAAATTGAATTGGGTTAATAAGAATCTTCGATTTTCTAAATATGGGACAATTAAAGTATATGCAACACGGACACACAACTTAGAGTTGTAGAATAATGTTGCGATCGAAGATATATGGCGTAGATGCTTGAAAGTTGGCTAAAAGATAGGTTAGTTCCCTCTGAAATTTAAACAAGTGAGTTACAAACGGTCTGGGAACTTACCTGTCTTGTTCCATCAAAGTTTCTTCCATTGTTCCTTTGACAACTTAGGAACTTCGTGTTTGACAGCACCCATAGTTCTATTATGAGACCTCTAATACTCTTAGGCAAGTGAGTATGTCTTTTACAACACAAGAACTAAGTGTGACACATAAAAAATAAGCGCATATTCTTTACTTTAAGTATAACATAGGAACCCCAGCTTGACATAACTTATGGGAAAAAATACTTTATACTCGTGTTATGTTTCATCAAGTCTTGTTCCATTAAGCAATAAACAAGAATATGACAAATCAAGACAAGACCATGAGAGAATCAATTCACAAATTCACATATTACCAAAAAAATATCAATTCAATTCATCTAATGCCGACATGTGAAAAGGAACTTATATCTTATGTAGTCTCTTACCAGTAAAAATATAACTTTAAAGCATTGGTTGAGTATGATGGCTTACCTTGGAGTTCTTGAAGTGGTTGTTATGTTCCTTGATGATCTCGAATCTAATATGAACTTCCACTTCTAACTCAAGTTCCATTGTCAGTGGTTAATCTTACAAATATATTTTCTTATCATAAATTAGCAAAAACCAATTCACAATGGCTCGTTAGTAGTACCAGAGATATATCAATGTAAACAAGTACTAATAATAACTCAGTTAATCTTGAAAACAAAAATTGATACTTTTAAAACTCAATTTTCAAGAAGGAACTTGGATAGGATTCTATCCTAGAGTATGTTCCACATAGACGTCTACAAAAATTCATATCAAGACATACATGACATCCATGTGGTACAACTCTAATCCCATATAAACAGCAAGAACAAATATTATTCAATTTGCTTCAAGTCTAGCTACACACGCAACAAGTTCCTTAAAGACAATACATACCTTTGTATTGGTTGTTTCTTTTAAGAACCAACCTGGCCTTGTTCCATTCACGTGCCTTACTCAACAAGCTTTTGCCAGAACACCTTTTTTAATCTCCGACCCTTTTTAGGTGTTCTAGAATAGGTTCAGGATGTGACATGCATCTTCTTCTTTTTAAGCTTATTAAGTTCCTGTTGCACATCTAA